GCTTGTGGGAAATCAGTTTTAGAGTATTTCCAGCATGGCCAGCTACTCAGCTCATGCTATGAAGTACTGAAAAGTTGAAAAGCAGTTTCTTTACTGAAGACAAACGACTTGTTCCAGTCTTTCTGGAGCAGAGAACAGACTTTCTCTGTCATTTTCCCACCTTGGGTCCTGAGATGATCAGGAAAAAAGTGGGCATGTACATATTTTAAATATATCAATATAAATGGCTGTGGAAACTCAGAACAATTCAGGTCCATGACAAGTTACTTCTCCAGATGGTGGCAGTTCTACTCTAGCACAGAGGATCCAAAGGGGCTGAGCATTCTGTATTATAAAGCTTCCTTAAACACACCCACCCACAATGTACCCCATATTCTGTCCCTCCCTGAAATACAATAGTGAGGCAATTAGAAGGAAATTGTTTGAAAAAGCTTGAAACAGTAAGTATAACCTAGTTATCTAGATGTACATTTTGAGAATCTCTTTTTGCGGACTTGCTGAAAATTGGTCTGGGAAAAACAAAACGTTTTCAGACGAACTCATTCAAAATGTTATATCCAATCCTCAAAGTCATGGTATGCAGTATACGTTACACAGATAATTTATTGCCCAATTATCATGGTCCATGTTGATGCTGAACCAGTCTGTCCATGATTTAGCAGCCTGATCCTCAAGATTCTGCTAATGCAAGCACCATACTCTTCCAAGACTACAGATGCCTATGCAGCTCTGTCAACCAAAGGAAGTCACTTATATTTTTCAGTGCTTTTTGGAAGCACAGGTTTATAAAGAAGGCAATAAAAGGACAAAGTCTGATCAGGGTCAGTTTGCAGTTTGAATTCTGGACTTCCCGAAATTCTGAGCTTTTCCATGTGGGCTTCTTTCATCTCTTCTGACCCTACACTGCTTTTGGTTTATCCGCCGATTTCCGCATGCATCTTTGTGCCTTTAATTTTCAGTTCAGGCTATTTGTTTTTCCCCTTTTTTTTCCTTTTCTTTTGAGACCACTTTTACTCTGACCCTACACTGCTTTTGGTTTATCCGCTGATTTCCGCATGCGTCTTTGTGCCTTTAATTTTCAGTTCAGGTTATTTGTTTTTTCCCTTTTTTCCCTTTTGAGACCACTTTTACCCTAATGTTCTTCTGGAAGCCAATTCTGACTCACTTTTTCCACATGCTAATCTTTCTTTTGGTTTTCTTTGTCCTGTCCATTCCCACCCACCTTCAGACCACGTTTCAGTTATTGGACTGTTGTGGTCAAACCACTCCCTCTGCTTCATCCCACCCTGAAAACAAGTGGTTTCATTTTCTTTTCTTTTTTAACGGCACTAAAAAGTTGATATATTGCTAGAGCACTGTAACAATTGGCTTAGCAGGTTCTCTGCATTCCATGCTTTCATTTTTTAAAAGAGTAAGTCTCTAGCTCCTGCCCTTGCAGAGATTATATGGGAAAAGGCATATCTCCACAAGGTAAAGGAACAAAGGCTTTTTTAAAAACAAAGAAGAAGAAGAAGATGTGGTTTTATACCCTGCCCTGCATTACCTGAAGGAGTCTCACTGTGGCTTACAATCGCCTTCCCTTCCTCTCCTCACAACAGTCACCTTGTGAGGTAGGTGGGGCTGAGACAGTTCTGACAAAACTGTGACTGACTCAAGGTCACCCAGCAGGCATCATGTGGAGGAGTGGGGAATCAAACCTGGTTCTCCAGATTAGAGTCCACCACTCTTCATCAATACACCACCCTGGCTCTCATGAATGAAATCTGGGAATGGATGGAACCTGCTAACCCTTTTGTTACAATGTTCTAGTGATCGATCAATATTTTAGTGCTGTTTTTAAAAATGGGGAGGTGCTGTAACACCACCGATGACACCATCAATGACAACAGCACCCTGCCTTGAAAATCCTCATTACTGAAGGCAATGTGCAAAAGAAAATGGACTCCACAAGTGAGAAATTGCAGAGGGAGGACAGACATGCAGAAGAACCATGCCCAGATCAATTCCAGGGCTTGTGGATTGACTGCCAAGAAAATCAGGAGTAAGTAGAGTATGCAGAAAAGCCCTCTGTTGACTTAAGCACAAGATTGGCCTTAATAAGAACTCCCACATTCAATCTTCAGTTCTTTTGATTTTGTCTTACAAAGGTCCCGGTCACATGGGCCAGAAAATGCGGGAGGGGGAGTGTGGCTGTTTGCCCCATAGCAAAGTAACGCGCGGCAGCCCGATTACATGTCCCGTTGCTAGGCCGTTAGGTGCCAATCACACGGCTATCCTGCAGTGCGGCAAAGAAGCAGCACGGCACGATCACATCGGCAATCACTACGCGCCGCTTCCGTGACAAATGGGATTTTTTTTTCACACCAAAGTTTTTTCACACCTGCCACTCAGCTGTTTGGATGCCCCTGCTTTCTGCTCCCCGTAAAAAGCCACGGGAAGCAGAAAGCAGGGGTTCAAACTTTAAATGGCTCACGAACCAATACAAACCGGGTTGGTTTGTGAACCAACCTGCCGGTTTGTATGTGTTTGTGGTTTAATTCATGTTTCAGCCACGAACTATTAACCGAACTGCAAAAGTGCAGTTTGTGACCATCCCTAGAGGCAATACTAAGTTGAGTTTCTATGTCCTGTTTGTTAGCCATTCAGGGCAATTCTTCAGCTGTTGAATAAAACAGTATGCTGGACTAGATGGACCACTGGTCTGATCCAGCAGGATTCTTCTTATGCTCTGATGTTTTATATTTCCTCAGATAGTTTCAGTGGAGGGAAAAAACCCTTGGGCTTGTCTACATTAGCACCACACCTTTCACAGTGAATTAAAATGGGTAGGTTTCAATACTGCCCTAATTTGCATGAGTGATGTTACTGTATTTTTTTTAAAAAAACTCGAATCATTCAGTTCAACAGATCCTTTAACCCTCACTGCCCAGTCCACTATGCTATGTCGCAGGGTATTTTTAAATAATTTTTGGAAGCCTTAACTACCTTCTTCTTGAGACAGTCACAATCCTATCCTAATTTTTAACAGAAATATAATAATTCTATTTAGGAATGATTAAAAACAGCAAAGAAAAATTGCCAGAATAAGATTACAGGTAATATGGCCAGATAACTTGGAAATATAAATGAGCTGCAGAAAAGAGGGAAGAGATCATGCATTACCTTTTCGGTTCTACAGTTGTTTAAACCCATGTTGTTCATGGAGGGAAGTTTCCCATCAATGCCATGTGGTTGATGCTGCTGCTCCCTCTGTATCTGCTCTCTCATTTTTCGTGCCTCTTGAATGGCTTTCATTACTGTATCCTGGTCCCCAAATAGGGCAGGTGAGTTAAGACTAGAAAGGATGTCTACAAATAACAGAAACCAAAGCTTTACTGAAGACTATTTTTGAAATCTGATTTTGAAGCATTATGTAAAACATTCCTCTCCTTTTAAGGAGAGCCCAATATGTGAATTTTGATACACATGTATATTTTTGTTGTTCAGATTACATTTATAAACTGTATATTAATGTCATTATATTTGTCTGCACTTATTTAACCATCTACTTTGAACTTCTGCTTCGAGGGAAGGTAATGAATTGGCTATTTTTTCCCCTCACAACAGCCCTGTGAAGTTAACCCCATATCACCTTGCCTGTGGCATTCCAGCTATAAAGCTTTATCATATTATTTATTGATTTAAGAATTTAAGCCTTCATAAGAAAAAAAAAGCTCAAAATAATAAGAAAACAGTTTCTCTCACACACACATACAATCTCCCATTTATTACCAAGAAAATACTTAATGCTTTTCTAAGTCAAGGGCCCAACTAAGAAATTTTGAAATGGAATATGAGTAAACCACCAAAATACAGATGTCCATTTCAATAATATCCATTCTTTTAATTGTTGTTTCATTGTGACTGAATACTACTGGATTCTACACATTCTAATCATGGAATGGCATGTCACAGCATGTGTGAGAGAATATAAGAGTTGTCATTTTAATAGAAGTCCAAAGCTGCAAATCTACTGAGACAAAAGATTTTTATTCTACTGTGATCAGGTACTTGAAAAAAAATATCAACAGGTTTTAGCATGAAACAAGCTCTCATTCCTTTCACAGATGGATTCCATTGTAGAGAAGATTCATATTTTGAAGGGGTGTCTATGTTTATACCAGAAGCAGCAATGAAGGTAAGCTGGTATGAGTTAGTATGCCATACCAATAAGAAATCAGCTTAAGCAGTGACTGTGAGGAGGCTTGGTGGTTGGGAACAACTTGACATCCCTTAGCATGAGATGGGAGGAGGCTTACACCCTTCTGGTATGTATCCAGATCTGTCCCCTTGCAAACTTGGTAATTAAAAACATTGCTAGCATGCTTTAGTGGGTTGCAGCAAGAGTAGCTGGAACCTTCTGGCCACAGAAGATGGGAAGTTCTATGTGTATGTTTCTCCTTCCCCAGTTCAAGCAAGACTTAAAGGCTGCATCCCACGCTGAGCCACCTGGAGCAAGACCTGCTTTGCCCATGAAGTGTAGTGGTTGGTCAGCCACCTACTCCGCCTTCTGAGAAAGCATGGGCGGGTCTCAAGCTGTTTTCTTTGGTCTGTCCCTTTGTTTGATGGGAAGGGAGATGAGGTTCTCCTCAGAGTTGGGATTTCTTTCTCCCTTGACAATTAAAGGGTTTAAAGGAGGGAGGCATCAGCCTTGGGATCCTGTTGATTCTTGTGTCCTACAGAAGAACCCAAAGTATTGGGTTTGAATGGGTGCCTTTTTACTTGCCCCCCCCCCAAAGTCCTATCCAGAGGCATCTTCCTCGTGAGTTGTCTACATGCTGCACCAGATGTCTCCTTAGTGCCTTAAAAACTCCTTGCTTGTGTGGTGTGGCAGGAGCTTTGAGGCATGGAGGGTTGTACTATGCTGGGCAGAGAAGAGGAAACTGGCAGAGGGTGGTGGGTTCCCTTTAAAAAGGCACAGAAGGTCCCTGACAATTATTTGTATGCGATGGAGACTTGGGTAAAACTCTTGCTTCCTATCTGTACCTTTTGGCCCATTATCTGCTTTTTTGTAACAGGTTTCTTTCCCCGGTGCAAATGGAGATCAATAGGAATACCTGTATCAATCAATCAATGTATTTCTACAGTCCTTAGACCAGTCATTAGGAATATCTGTAGTCTGTCTTATGTTGGTCGGTCAGAACTGGTGTTTCTTGTACAACAGTAGTGCACTCCTACGCAGGTTTACTTAGAAATACGTCACACTGCACTGAGTGAGCTTAATCCCAGGTAAGTGTTCCCAAGATTGCTCTGTAAATCTGGTAGTCATGAGTCACTAGTATGTCCAGTCTGCTCTCGGACTAAGGACTTTTGTTCCAGATCAAGTGATCATGGATTAGAGCCCGCTTTCCAGATGCTAAGGATGGGACAGTGTTTCCTTTGCTACTCCTGCCCTTTTCCCACTACTCAGTTTAATGGGACTTAACACCAAGTAAGTGCTTTTAGGCAGGGGTCATTTGGGGGGGGGACGCGGGGGGACGCCATCCCCCCGGGTGAGGTGCGGGAGGGCAGGGCCGGGAGCTCCCTGCTGGTGCCCGCTGGAGGTCGCCGCCGGCTGTGGGGAGGACACACTTCCGGTGATGTCAGGGGGTGTGGCATATGCTAATGAGTTATGCTAATGAGTCCCCCTAGCTCTTTTTCTACGAAATGACCCCTGCTTTTAGGAATGCAGCTTTACATGCTTACAGGAAGAATATGTGTATTCTTAATGCTGTTACTTCTCTGTGACTGATTTCTAACTGTGGGAGGCATGAGTTTGTAGATTTAGACTCAGCTGGAATGCTATCAGTGGAAGAAGCAATAGAATTGCGGCATTTGTTCTGCAACATCCACACTGAATTTCAGTATTACGATATGGGAAACGTTCCCGTAACATTTGAGAGAATTTGTTCAGGTGTTTATTCCAATATTAAAGTATTGCTTTATAATACTGATAGTAGCTTTGAGTATGGCAGTCTTGCACAGGAATTCATTAAACTAATGATAGACAAGACTGCGGGGGGATGTGGCAGAAATCCAACAGTACACTGAAAAACTTTCATCCCAAACCAAGGCTGCAATCACGCACACTAAATAATCCACTTTCAATCCACATTCAATGCACTTTCAAATTGGATTTTGTCAGTTCACACAGTAAAATCCAGATATTAAGTGCACTGAAAGTGGATTATTTAGTGTGTGTGACCACAGCCCAAAAGAGAAAAAGAATTTGAGGTATTTATTTGCAGCTTATTGTGCTGTCAACGGTATAATATTTTTACGTTCTTATCACAGCCAACGTTTTGGAGACTCCTATAAGACAAGAAAATGGATATAAATTCTTTCACGTTCATGAGCCTAAATTTGTTTACTTGAACCTTCAGTGCTCAGGGCTACTTGTTGGAGAACTGGACTTGGGCTCTTTAAGAGCCTGGCAACTGCAAGAGAAGATGCAGCCAGAGTTGCTCCAGCTCCAGTTTCTGTTGTCCAACTTTAGGAACACCCTGGGTGATTTCCCACAAGCGCTGCTCCCCGCGCAGCAGCTTGTGTGAAATTGACATGTACCATCAGGGCAAAAGGGAGGGGTGAGCGCAGAGCAGTGCTTGTGGGAAATCACCCCCTATAACAGTCTGAAAAGGGAGAGCAATGATGGGACTGATGGAGAATTAGGGTACCAAAAGCCAACCGCTGCTTAACATCCAGTTATAGCACTTGTAAAGAAACACGGTTGGTTCTCCAGGTTGCAAAATAGTTGTTCTACTTGACTCTCTATATAAAAATGTGGGAACAGGACTTCATAAGTAGAAACATTTTCTGGTTAAAAACAAAGGATTAAAAATGCATAAATATTTTATATTGTTTATGTTCCTTTCTCTGATGGTCCAAGGTGAACTCTATATAATAACCTTTACAGACATCACTGTTTTGAAAGATGGGACAAAATGATTGTTAGCAGAGTTTTCCTCCTTATTGGTGAAGCTAGAAATGTGATTTTGTACTGAAGCAAAAGCCCACACAATTGCTTTCACAAAACTGTGTTTTGTGGGTCCTTTCCTGGGTGGACTGCACCATTCCAGGTTGTTGTGAACATTACTGAGAAAAGGACAGAAGCTGTCAAAGGGTATATGGCTGTTGTGTGGGATAGGATGTGCTAAACCAGACACAAGGATCTCAAGAAAATGATTGGGAAGCACACCTTTAGAAATCAGTGCTCTCATAGTCAGTGTTCCCTCTAAGCTGAGTTAGAGTGAGCTAGCTCACAATTTTTTAGCCTCCAGTTCACAGATTTTTGTCTTAGCTCAGGAAGGATGGCTCCAGGGCAAAGTAATTTATGCAGTAGCCAAATTGCTCGCTCACAACTTTATTGCCTGTGGCTCACAAAGTAGAATTTTTGCTCACAACACTCTGCAGCTTAGAGGGATCATTGCTCATAGTACCAGAATTTCCCTTTCAAAATCAGGAGTGGAAAGTAGACTGCTTTCTACTTCCAATTAGTACCTGCTGGTTGCGGGAATTCTTGCAAAAGATGGTGGACTAAATGTATGATCCATCAAGGCACATTCTTAATCAAAAGAGAACGCTCAGGATCACTTAATGCTGTTCAGTTCATTGTTGAGATCCTGAATATGCACCCTTTAAACTATATAGATATATACATTGGCAGATCATGGGGCTGAGTTGGGGGGGAAAGTAGTTAGCCCTCCCCTGTTCTAAATCATCCAAATGTCTTCCTTTCTTTACCTAGAGAAGATCCTCTTCCCAGAGCTGCACCAATAGGGCTGGGGAGTCCACTTTTATTAGCCACATTCACTGGGCTTGATTTACTAGTAGGGAATAGGTTCTGTGTTGGTGACGTCGGGGATTTGACAGGTTCAGCTGTCTTGGGTCGGGCTGAAAGATTCAGTGGCTGTGCAGCATCATCCTAGAAAAGTTTAATGTAAATAATTATTAGAAAAAGACAAATGAAACATATTATCACTTAGGAAGCCACAGCTATTTTACAACCTCCTAGACAATGCCAGCTTCTCCTGCAATAATAACAAAAGAAGCTAATTATCTATACTCCTTGAAGACTCCATGAAAGCAAAACCTCATTAATTTCTTTATGCTGCGCCTCTGTTTACACTAACTATGTGGCTGGATCATTCTTTTTGACAAATTAAAATTTGAAATTAGCTTGCATTATTGCTTAATTTCTTAATGTGTTTTCTGAGATCTGAATTAACCCAGGGCGTTTACAAAGAATTATTTAAAATACTTTCTAACAGTTCAGTTGTGTTGTATCTACTCAGAAACTTCTTAAAACTATGAAACAGATTGTGTGTCTCTGTGTGTATGAGAATAATGGTGGAGTTATAGGTGAAATTAAAACAAGAAAAACATATTAACAAGTATGTAGGATAGGATAGGAGTTGCGGTGGCTCAAGTGGTTAAGACGCTGAACTGCAGGCTGTGGAAGGTCGGTAGTTCAGCAGTTCAAGACCCGAGTTGCCGCATGACGGAGTGAGCTCCCGTCTCTAGTTCCAGCTCCTGCCAACCTAGCAGTTCGAAAGCAAGAAATTGCAAGTAGATAAATAGGTACCGCTTCAGTGGGAAGGTAACAGCGTTCCGTGCGCCTTGGTGTTTAGTCATGCCGGCCACATGACCACGGAAACGTCTTCAGACAGCGCTGGCTCTTCGGCTTTGAAACGGAGATAAGCACCGCAACCCTAGAGTCGGATTCGACTGGCTTTCGAGCAAGGGAACCTTTACCTTTACCTAGGATAGTTTATCCCTACATATCCAAGTCCCTATTGCAGCTTTACGTTTGCACATGACGTCCTCTGTGATTCGTCTATGCAGAACGTTATTTCTGTGTCCCCTACAAAAGATTTGGAGGAAAGAGACTGAAATGGTAGCACATTTTATGGCACACTGCTGAGTTGGATAAACCTTTATCGTCAGATCCTATGGCAGGCATCAGGGTTAGTGAAGATGGAATTGTACTAACTGTACTACTATATTAAAGAGTGACTTCTATCCAAGTTAAAAGAGCTTGACAGTACAGCGCCAATCGGCTGGTCATATCGACACTCCAGTATTTACTATCAGAATCTGACAGTGCAGTTTTGCGCTGATGAGCGACGGCTGCACAAGCAGACTCTCCCCTGCAAAACCTGCACACCTTTGTTATACTCTGCGAGGGCTTGGCAAAACAGCTGGCTCAGCAATGGCAGGAGCATTCATTCCCATACCACAGAGAAATTTTTCTGCCAGTATCTTCAGGCCTACAAAGAACAGGACTGGATCACTAGTTATCTTGTTATGTAGGTAAGACAGGTGAGACTTAAGGACCCTAACTCTCATAAGCATCCAGTTTTCCATATCGGTGTATTATATGAAAAGAAGAAAACACTTTAGTATTGTAAAGTTTTGTCAAGTAGAATTAGAGATAACTAGTATGATTTACTACATTTAAAACAACAACAACAAATGTTTTGATCTTTAATTTACAGCATATGTGCAAGTTTAGACAAGCAAAAACTATCTGAATTCATATTCCTGTAATTTTAAGTGGCATTTGCTTGCTTTGTGTAACATTTTGTGCCAGTGAAAAGAGAGAACAAGGCCGGAAAACTCACTGAGAAAACTCTGAGCACATATAATCTTAAGAAACATCAAACTTTTGGAAAGATGGAATCTAAGAAATTTGTTCTTTTGATCTACTGCTCCCCTTTACAACGAAACCTTGCCCTGTTCATTGGAGAGATTGTACCCTGTGTTGAACTTGTTAGCAATCAGCCAGGCACAGCATTTTTGGAATAGCAGAATACTGATTTTCTGTAATTAAAATGAAAAGAGCCTGGTAACATGGCGCTCTCATTTAAAATATGCCCAAAGCTGAGATATGCTGGATATAAGGGTGCATCATCTATATTTTAGCAGACAGCACTGAACACTTCAAAGGTTTGAAATATATGAAAGAATACAATAATGCACTCCATTATCTTATCATTGCCATTCTCCTTGCTGTCAAGTCAAGATTCTACATGGTATATCTTGTCATATATAATGTATTATATAGGCCAATGCAACAAATAAGTAGCTATTTAAAACACCGCCCTCCCTCTATGTCTGATGTTACTTCTGTTCAACTGCCATAGAAGTACTGCCCCATATTCTGTCGAAGTCACTGAAAATGTAGCCCCTTGAAGGTCAGTCCTAGGGAGAGAATAGCAGTGCTCTGGGGAAAATGATGATGGCTTGTCAAGAATTTCTTGGGTATATCACACAGCTGTTGCTTGGGGGATTTAGCTGTCTCATTTCACCACGTCCGATTCTATAGTCCCTATATGCAAGGGGCTCTTGTTCGTGTTCCCCTAGTCCCAACGGTTAAAGGAGGGGGGTGGTTGGATCCGCATGGGCTGTGCAGCTTGCCGAGGTAAGTGTGGATTGTCAAATGACAGATGGAAAGGGGAATCTGCCTTTTTCTTGGACACTTCCCATGCTCCTAGTTACACACTGTAGCATCTAACCAAAAGTGTGGGATGCTTCTGTACAAGTGTCTCTTTTAAACATTAGCAGGAACATGTGATATTGTCACAAACAAATGTCTAGATTTGCACGCTTTTCTTTAGAACAAGAATAGTCTAGCTGAATTAAAAATGGCGGCCTGATGCCTCCTTAATGATGGAGGCCCAGGTAGCAGCCACTGAGATGTCTGTCTTTTACCATCTACGGCTGATTAGACAGTTGGTTCCCTTCCTTGAACACAATGACCTGGCAACAGTGATCCACGCAATGGTCACCTCGAGACTGGATTACTGTAATGCTCTCTACATGGGGCTGCCCTTGTCCCAGATCTGGAAGCTGCAGCTACTGCAGAATGCAGTGGCAAGGCTGCTGTTGTGTCTTCCTGTGTGGGAACACATCCAGCCCGCCCTAAAATAGCATACCGGATTCGGTTCAAGGTGCTGTTTTTGACCTTTAAAGCCCTATATGGTCAGGGACCTATTTACTTAAGGGACCACCTTTCCCCATATGTCCCCCAGAGAGCACTGAGATCGGGATCCCAAAATCGCCTGGTTCTCCCGAAAGAAGCCAGGCTGGCCGCAACGAGGGCCAGGGCCTTCTCTGTGGCGGCCCCTTACTGGTGGAATGAGCTCCCAGAGGACATCAGGGCCCTGCGGGACCTTCTGCAGTTCTGCAAGGCCTGTAAAATGGAGCTCTTCCACCAGGCTTTTAATTAGGGGGCTGCCTTTAACATCATTGCCAGCCTGATGACTAACAGCCTGGATTAGGGGTAGGTGACCATCCAACTGTCGAGAGAACGCTACCATCTTGTATTGTATTTATATTTGGAGTAGTTATGATTTTATATATAGTAATTTTAATTGAATTCTGTTTTAATATTGTGGAGTCTTAATGTAGACATTTATTGGTACATATTGTAAGCCGCCCTGAGCCTGCCACAGTGGGGAGGGCAGGATAAAAATTTAATAAATAAAATAAAACAAAATCTTTGATGAGGCTACTAGTTAGAGAACTGGAGTTGGCTCTTTAGTTCTTTTGCAATATAAAATGACCTTGTATAACTTATAGTGCATCATCGAAAAGCAGGGGTTACACCACAAAATCATAGAAAGGGGTTGAAAGAAACCTGATGCTCCGAAGAAGGATACTATTTGTCAGCACTATGCAAAGATAGATGTGATAGCACAGAAAGGCTGACTAGTTCTTTTCTATGTTTGATGAATGTATAACTCAAAAAAGGAGGGATTCCATTTCTTGTTAAGGACTAGCCATTACTGTTTGGGGTTGAACAGGTAGGGTACTTCTCATCGACTATATTCCCTCCTTTAAGGTAAACAGAGATCCCAATCACATGCAGAATTAGCCACACGATAGGCACGAATGCCGGGTGAATTTTAAGGGTGCGATCACACGGGAACATCTGGCAAGCGTCCCGCACCCGTCAGCAACCCATCTCGCTCTGCAGAAGAAGCGGAGTTAAAAAATACCGGGGAAAGTCCAGTATCAAACGGGTTGCTACAGGCCACAGACAGACTTTCCCCTTTGTGATCGCTCCAGCGCGCTACCATGGCATCGGGATGGTCTGATCAGGCCATCCCGACTCCGTGCCTTTGTTTTTTTCCCCTTCTCAGTATGCGCATCATCGCATACTGCCGTAGGAAGCCCTCAGTGTGGAGATGCGATTCACTGATCCTCCATTTAGAACTGTGTGATCCCACCACTGCGGGTCAATTTCCTCCGGGTTAAATAGCCTCGCGTCCCCCATGCATTATCTCGCACGTGTGACCGGGACCAGAGATGTTATAAACAGTGTTTCGCTTTGTAAAAAATTGTATCAGTATCTCCATAAATCCTCAGGAAGATGGAATACTAATCTAAATAAACAAGCACATTTGGGCTGCCTACAAAATACTAGAAAGGAGAAGGCTTTATAGTTGCTGCTGCTGCCGCCAAGTCCCACCCTGAATCCTCCTAGTTCTAAACAAGTGACAATTAAGCATGCATGAGCTTTTGACAATACATCAAAAGCAAATAGGAGAAAGCCAAATACCAGCAACACTGTGACATCAACAAGGGTCCAATCAATCTGCACTCATGGCATATCTTTTTTTCCCTTTCCCAATCAATCCACAGTGATGGTCTTCCCCCCCCCCCTTCCAGGCACCCTCCTTTTTATTTGAGGCTTCTATTGATTTAATGATCAATGTGTTAAATAAGTAGAAGAGGTGTGGTTTCCCTTGCCATCTCACACACTTAAGGCCAATTTCTAAAAAACATTTTTGGCATGGGTTACCCATGCAATATTAATAAGATTTATGCAATCATGCTAGTGTTACAATCACATGTCTAGCATATCCTGCCCAGGTTATGCTAAACATAGGACCTCACAGAGCAGCTGCACCCCTGGCTCATGCAACTCATCAGTCACAGGGATTTTTCATGCTGTCCTTGCTTGGTAATGAACCCTGCAAATCCATGTGGGATTTGCATTTCAACTTTTAATTCGTGTTCACTTACAAACAACAACGTAATACTGAATGGTTGGAACCAGTAAAAAGCCTGTTTTAATAAGTGGAATTGATAGAAGGTGAAAAGCTAGTTTACACTACCCTTTATTCTCTGATAATGATTTGCCTAGCCAAAACAACCTAGATGTTAAAGGGGGAAATTAGATATTACAGTAGACTGGAAAGATCAGGGGCTGCCAACTGGCCATTCCAGGTAAGTGGTCACAGAAACAACAGCAGGGTTGTTATGATCTGGTGGCTGCAGATCACAATGCTGTAGATAAATGCAGGGGTCTGTAAAATGGCTTATCAGAACTGAAATATGCTGGATTTACTCAACTGGGTAGACAGAGGTTTATCTCAGTTCTGATATTATAAGCAAGGCTTCAAGTATCTAGAATTAGCTACTTCAAGGTAGCAAAGAAAACACAGGCCTTGTATTATCCTAGGTGACAAACCATTCTTCTCCTCACCTGAATATGTAAACAAATGCTGGAAGAGAATGAATCATGAGGTCATCGTACATCAGAAGGAGTACAAATACAGATAATCCAAAAGAAGTACCTTAAGTTGAGTTAAAGGACTGGTCCCTCTCTTTTCATTTTTCATCCCGGTAGGTGAAAGTGCCCCTGTTGTGTTTGGTGGCTGAGGGGTAGAGGGCATCTTGGCTCCAGGTGAAACCTGCATGCTGGCCAACTGAGCTGCATAGAGTTGCTGCGAAAAACAAGATACGTTTATCTGAGAAAAAGTTCTTCCTAAGTGGCAGATGAAATATTTATAGGATTCTGGGGGCGAGAGACTCTCCTTGTTGCTAGCAGGTGAAGTTTAAAAGATCATGCGGTTAAAGGGATGTGATTCATAGTTTGGGGGCCATCAAAGCAACTTCAGCAAGGTTCTAGAGAGTTATCTGGAAGCCATACAATAATAATTATAACAATAATAATATATTACCAAATAGGTCTGACAAGCCTAATTATTAGAGAACATCTCTTACAACCCCATCAAATATATAATAATCGGTTGGCAAGTATCTATCAGATATCATACCAAATTCCAGTTAACTTTCATTGGTCATATTTTGCTAACGTTAATAAAATAAAATTTTAGAAGAAGAAGAAGAGGAAGAGATTGGATTTATACCCCGCTCTTCACTACCCAAAGGTGTCTCAGAACGGCTTACAAACTCCTTTCCCTTCCCCTCCCCACAACAGACACCCTGTGAGGTAGGTGGGGCTGAGAGAGCTCTTGACAGAAACTGCTCTTTTTCAAGAACAGCTCTTATCAGAGCTACGGCTTGCCCAAGGTCATCCAGCCAGGTGCAAGTGGAGGAGTGGGGAATCAAACCCGGTTCTCCCAGATTAGAGTCCGCACACTTAACCACTACACCATATTTTCAAAATTTGTCTGCCTTCTTTCTGTCTTTACATGGGCAACCAAGGTGGCCAACCATTTAAAACACGGATACTAAAACCACATTTTTAAAACCATTAAAATCAACCCCCAAACATACATAATTAAAATGTCTAAAACACAGAGTTAGAACACATACAAAACACAAAAAGATCCATTAAAACACTGGTTAGGAAAGAGGGATCTCTGAGAGAGTGCCAAATTAAAAGAAAAGTCTTCACCCAGTGATGAAAGAAGGCAACAGAAGAGGACAGACAAACCTCCCTGGGGAGAGAGTTCCAGAACTTTGGGGCCATGACTGAGAAGGCCCTCTCCCATGCTGCCACCTGCCTAATCTCAGAATCCAGAGGTACCCAAAGCAGGGCCTTCAAACATGACTGTAGTGGTCCAGTAGATTCAAAAGGGAGTAGATTGTCCTTCAGGTATGTTGGTCCCAAGCTGTACATGGCTTTGAAGATCAAGACCAGCACCTTGAATTGTGCCTGGAAGCAAACTTGGACCAATGATTGCTGATATTGTGTCATTGTAAAGCAGTCAACAGATTTTTCTCTAGGCCAGTTTGGCTGGAGATCCTGGAGGGTCCCCCCCCCCATCTTCTGGACATGGAACAGCGGTCACTGGGGGTTTGAGGGGGGGAGGCATTGGTGTATTTCCTGCATTGTGCAGGGAGTTGGTCTAGATGACCCTGGAGATCCCTTCCAGCTCTATTATTCTATTTCCTCTGTGAGTGCAAGGATTTATATATCTAATACTAGTGCTAATATGAATAGTGGTGTAAATCCTCACTTATAAAGTGGGAGCAAAAGTACAATTTTTTAAAATAGTAAAAGTACAATCTTAAGTATTATTATGGATCTTATATTTAAGTCCCTCAGCTTTTCAGAAGCTGAACAGAACTCTCAGAAGATGTGAAATTAAGTCATATATTCCCAAAACATATAAAATGTTTCTTGAGCAAACAAAACAGGTTTAATTTCTTTGCAGCAACCAGCCTTAGAACCTCACCTTGAATTAGCAGCAGCAACAATTCTACCATTAAAAACAGAGAAGATCCTATTCCACACATAAATCTGTATAAAATTTGCCTTATTAGTGAAAAAAAACAGGTGGTTTGTATGTAATTTCCAACATTACTATCATTCAGATGGACAAATAAAAAAAATTACAGTAATCAAAAGCAGACCTTTCAGCACATGTAATTAAATGAAAGCTTAATAAAGAATAATTTGCAAGAGCCAGATGTGCTTATGTCATAATTGTTGCTTTCTTTGGAACAATTTTTCTAATATAACAAGCCTCCAAAGAAATGAAAGTTACACAATACTATATATGCTCAATGACTCAGTGGCTAGACAAAGGCATGCATAAGGTCAGTCAAAACTCTGTGTCCTTAATAAAAAAACACAAGAGTTTTATGCTGTTGCTTCTCAAAGGTGCTCAAACCACTGGGCTCAGGAAAGCAGCATTCAGACAAGTAGGTCACATGCCTAAACAATCTGCTGAAACTGAATACTTGAGACAAATAGTGCTGGTTTTGCTCCTTTACCTGAACTCAGATTTCTCACCTCTCTGCTATGCAAGAATAATTGCTGTTCTGCTTCCAGGGCCAAGTATCTTACCAGCACCCCTTGGCTATGGCACAAAAGTAGTTCGATGTTCAAACAAAACAACAACAGAACACCACTCCTGGTCACATTCGGCTCTGAGATTAAACCAGCTCAACACATCATTAACAACCTACAACCTATAACAACATTTCTCACTGTCAAGCATTGGGAGGAAAACATATTTTTGCCCAAAGACAAAGTCCTAACCTTAAACAACTTCTCACCCACAACAATGCCCTACCTAACATGAACACAGACTCTGGGACCAGGATCTGTGATAGGGATGGGCACGGACCAGAAAAATGGAGGTCCATGGCTCATGAATTTCACAAACCATGAACTTCCATGGACTTTCCCAGTTTACAAACTAGTTTATGGTTTGTGAGGTCTGTGATGTACGCAATCTGAAGTGGCCTCAGAAGGCATTTAAATACCTCCTGAGCTCATTGGCATTGCACCACAGTGGTGGTGTGATCTGGAAGTGGGCTTGGGAGGCATTTAAATGCCTCCTGAGCTCCCTTATGGGCATGCCACAGCGGTGGTACAGTTTCAAAGTGCCAGTTCGGTGTAGTGTTTAAGTGTGTGGACTCTAATCTGGGAGAACCGGGTTTGATTCCCAACTCCTCCACTTGCACCTGGCTGGATGACCACGGGCAAGCCATAGTTCTGTCACAGCTGTTCTTGAAAGAGCAGTTCTCAGCCCCACCTACCTCATAGGGTCTCTGTCATGGGGAGGGGAAGGGAAAGGAGTTTGTAAGCCATTCTCAGACTCTGAGTGAAAGGTGGGGTATAAATCCAATCTCTTCTTCTGATGTTGCTGCTGCTGGCGCCGGCGCCGCCCTGGGTGCCAGCATGTCTGGCCCATGGACTGCCCCAATGGACCAAACAGACCCCCCCCCAAAATAGTGATCCATGGGTGGTCTGTCAAAACAGCAAATGTACGGCCCGTGCAAACAGACTACAAACTGGGCCAATACTCTTAAAATCTTTAAGTTTCTCCTGGACTTGAATCTAGCTGTCCGATAACAGACCAGCATAGTTACTATCTGAAACTATCAATGTTCTTAAGATTGTTCCTTGTTATAGGGTTGCCAAATGTGCCCGGGGGGGCGGGGAATCCCTCGCTTCAGAGCCCCGATTTCCGCCCCGGTGGAATCAGGGCCCGGGGGGAACCTCACCCCCAAAGCTGCGTCACCAGAGGTGACGTAGCCACGTTGCTGACAATGGGGGCGTGGCTGAGCGTGTCGGGGGGGGAACCATATGCTTCCCCCCGACGAGCTCACCTCGGCCACGCCCCCAACGTCAGCAACGTCTGACGTCACTTCCGGTGACGTCGCGGCGGCGCACGCGCGCTTTGCGCGCGCGCACACTGCCGGCTCCTGAACAGAATGGAGCCTTCCCCGCCGGTAAGATTGCAAGAGTTGGCAACCCTACCTTGTTAGCTTCATAGGCTACATCCCTGCCCCCCCCCAAAAAAATCAAATGTCCTTGGATCTATGCGTTTACATAGCACACTGATTATGGTTACAATTGATTACCACAATAGAGCAAAGGCAGAAAACTATAATCCAAAATGAGTGAGTTAAGAAGCTCTTTGTTAGCTAGAATAAAAGGGTATCTTTATCAGCATCTATCTGTACCATAAAAACACCACTGTCGACCTATATCCTATATATATATTTCCCTTACGTATTGGCCATTTCCAGCTCTCCCACTGGCTGTGTAGTATGCTCCATCAGCCATTGGCCCATCAACCACCTCTCAAGAGTACTTGCTTGCCATTGGCTGGGTGCTGGGCCCATGTCCGGCGATCTTCCGGCTCCACCTGGAGGTTGGCTACCCTAGGTGTAGCAGTTCGTGCTTCAGAGCAGGGTCTTGCTGTGGAAGCTGAGTGGGTGATTTCAGACCAGTCATGAACTTTCAGCCTAACCTATCTCACAGAGTTGTTGTGCAGATCAAAAGGGGGAGAGGAGAATGATGAAAGCTGCTTTGGTCTACACTGCAGAGAAAGACTGTACTTTTCCTCCTGGGGAATCATTGCTGCGAATCTCCAGGTGAGAAGCCAAAAATGAGAGATCATGGGAGGAAGTGGAATTCTAAAACAACATCCGTGACAAAAATAACAAAGAGTCAATAAAGATAAGTTGCAAAAACATTTACTGTAGTAATTCTGTAGAGCGATCATAGAAGAAAATTGTCTACAGAATTACTACAGTCAATGTTTTTGCAACTTATCTTTATTGACTCTTCGTTATTTTTGTCATAGATGTTGTTTTTGGAATTCCAATCTTCAGGTGAGGGCTGGAGGGGGAGGGGAAGGAAGGGATGAAAGTGCAAAAGTGTTTGCCGTGTTGGTTGCTTCTAGGCGTGCTGGGTGGCCCTCTTGCCTTGTGTTCATTGCCATTCAATTTAATTCAATTTAGACATGTTAGGGCATTTGATTTCTTTTCTTTTTACCCACTTACTGTTATAATTCTGCATCTTGTTTGTTTGACCTCTTATAAGTGCAGAAGGAGGGTGCTCTGGGCCTTCTCAAGGGAACCTAAATCCAAAGTGGTGGCAGCATCAGGTGACACCCCACCTGAGCCGTGACACTACCTCACAGGGAAAGCTGCAGAGAAAGACTGTACTTTTCCTAGGTAGAGATTACAGGTAGGGGGGAAGAGATGGCAGACTGAAGTAAGAGGGGCAGATAAT